ATCTTCCTCTTCAATTTCTGATTCATCTGTGTCCAATTTTTGGCATATGTCATCATCTGTTGGCTTTCCAGAGGTTTCTAGACATTCGTCAATATCTATCCACTCGTCNGTATTTAATCGACAACAACATTGAATGTAAACATCGTCTTCAAACTAAATTTGATTCTATTAAGCGAAAAGTTTATTCACTTAAGCGGTGAATTTTACATGTATAAGGATACGGGAAAATCATTGTTAGGATTTTTGATTCATTTAACCGGCGTATTCTATTAAGCGCAATTCTCTTAAGCGGCGACCACTGTATATACAGCATTGTGTATATATATGTTCGGAAAACGTCGACTGTCGAGTGGAGCATGGCCTCGGCGGCGGCATCCCAGCAGTCACGCAGTCACCACCAACTATACGCGAGACAGACGCGACAAAGGGCTAGGGAGTCAGGAGCGAGACTTGCGAGCGATTTATTGCAATCGAGAGACTTTTCATTTTGTCTCTGTTCTCGCTTCTTTTGCTCTTGTCGAGAGATGGTCCCGGCCGTGCTTTCGCATCTCGACGCAGTTTGCGCTTTCGGGTTTTGCTTTTTAAATATTTTTCACGTAATTCCCATCTCTGGCTTTTCGAAATTAGTCGACATGCGCTACGGGATCGCTCGTTGCGTATCCAAAAAAAAACAAGTTTTGTAATTCTCATTGGCTGGACGATTAACGAATGCGAGTAATTTTTTTTTCAATTTCTTTTCGTGCATGCTGCTTTCGATTCAACTTCATAGAAGATGCTTTATTAATCTCGCTCGAGGGCCGCTTCATTCGCCACATATGTAATATTTTGCTTCTCGATATTAACTAAGGAAGCGACGTTCCGGTTACTTTATTGCTCGTTAAAATGTATCACTGGTAAAGCTATTGCATCCATCACGCCGAGTGTAACGCTGCAATAACTTTTATTAGAATATTTTTAACTCTTGACAGGAAAATTTATATGCACATAATCTCTGGCGTTTTTCGCTCGAACCAGTTCACTTTGCATGTCCCGATTTAACAGACACACACGCACACACATACGTATACTCACACACGGGCACTTGCTAGCTCTCGCACGTACGTGTACACAGCACACAAGCATATCTCCAGCCAGCGATCCTTTCCTTGAATATACTACTTTTTACCTATTTTTTCTCTCGTATATCATCCTGACTATTTCGTAGTTGAAACACGCGCACTACTGAAAGACGACACCAATCGATACGCATTGCTGATCTGTTTGGTGCATACACATATACACACACATATTTTTTGTTTATCTACCCAATAAAGCGGTGCGATTTAATTTCATATTTCACTTAATATCAATTCATTTTTTCCGTATTTTTCGGCAAGAAAATTTAGACTTTAATCCAATATTGCTTAATATTAGTTTTTATGTAAAGATTTAAAAGCTTTAAACTTTTGACTATTTATTCGTAATTATTTATGAATGTTACAGAGAAACCCATTTAGTGAAAGCCATAAAAAACAGTGACAAAATGTTTAACATTCGTCGTGCATTGAAATATATGAAATGGTTACATTTTAATCTCGTAGTTTGCGGAAGTTGCCAGGCCTTTACAATTAGCGATAAAGGATAGCATTTTCTAATGAAAAATTAAGAAAAGTCTCAACTGGAAAAGTTGTTGCTAGTTGCATTAAGGAGGAAAATTAGAAAAGTAAGCGCGGCATTGACTGAAAGAGAGCTTTTATGAGTCCCAATCGGGTGGCCTTTCATGTAGGTGCACGACTCGTATTGTGGGTCCGTTTAAAGGCTAAATCGTTGAGGTCGGGTTTTTTATGCCAGCTAAGCTACTGTCCCTTCAAATTTCCGTTCCTTTGTTTATTCGTTTCTCTTTTCTCCCTTAATGCTGTCTTACTTTCATATACCTGCTATCCTACTCGTTTTCTACTGCTTTTTCTTCCCTTTTATCTCTTATCGCTCGACCTCCATCTCCTGTCTCATTTTCTCGTTCCCTTTTCTTCTACTAGATCGCCTCTGTGTATGTTACTCTCTTTTGCTTTACTACTTTTTCATTTGCGTTTGCTTTCTTTCGTGTATATTTGTTGCATCTGCACTCTTTCATTTTTTCATTTTTTAATACTCTTAAATAATTTTAATCACTATTTTTATTGTACTCGTCAGACGCGCTGACGCATTTTAATGCTCGATAGGTGCCATTTGGTCAACAGGTGTCGTTTTTATCCTCCTCTTATAAAATTATAATCTCACTCATCTCCAGTCTCAGTGACTGACCAATCAAAAGCCTTCATAAAAGGCTCCAGATTTCGTACCATTAATTTTTTGTAAGAAATAAAAATAAAACAATAAGATAGATAGATAAGATTTGCCTGATATTTTTTATTGGTACTTGAGAAAATCGATTTGTGAATTTGAAAGGAATGGACAAATTCATCGCTTCATTCATTAAAATCATTGATTTTTGATACTTCATATTACTTTGTATTGCAAATGATTGCTTAATACATTTAAAAGTAGTTACTTCTCAAAAATTTAATGAAATACATTCTGATAATTAAGAACTCGGGTCTGATAGTAAATTAATTTGTGAAAAGTTAAAATAATCTTCCAATGATTTGCCTTACAATGTTCAAGCTTAATTAATAAAATTTCACAACAAAGTGAAATTAATGTAGAATATTATTTTCTTTTAATCATAACAAAACTGAGAATTCATTTTTTAACAAAAATGATTTTCTTATTGTATTAACAAAAATCATGCGAATGTTAATATATTAGTACATACATGTACACTGACAGAAATTCTATAATAAAAATTACTATATTCCATCACAGAAAACCACCATAGTAAGCCTCGGTGCAATTTTTTCTATTGAACAGAGCAATTTTTGAAATAGGATTTTTCTTCGTGTACTCAAAAAATTGCATAGGATGAATCGATGCATCGACCAGAGTATTCTAATTTTACATTCAGTCTAAAAATAAATTATTTGAAAAGCAATAATAACTTTTCCCCCGGTATATTCATATTAAATCCCTTTTAAATAAGTTATGAAAGTACTACACACAATAGAATTTTACAAATTTTTACAAGTTTAAAACTATATGAGTTTAAAATCAATGTAATGCCGTTTAATACAAAGAAGTCAAACAATTTCGATATATGTTGATTTATAATGAAAGATTAAATTTATGAGTGTAATATTTTTAAGGGCAGGTTGAAGTGTTGAAATCTTAAACCTCAAAGACAGTGTTACAACTTTGTAGCAAATAAGATGATACGTAAAGACTTATCATCAAAGCGCGTCTAAGGATCTCGCTTGAGTACTCAGTATGTGAAAGTATAAAAAAACCAAAAAGTTACTTTAAAAATAAAATCTTAACTGAAAGTTATTTTTTACACTTCAATTTCGACCCTAGTGAAAAAATATTTTCTCGTCATCGTAATATTTTATGTGTGACATCTTCTTATGTATTATATGATGAAACCCGACAAGTTTTGATTATATCATTTAAATATGTCACCCATTGAATGACAAGGACTAATGAGAATCAGGATGCGTAAAATTTCAACGATGGCTTAGTCAAAAATCGTTTAAGTTGAGTAAACAACGAAGCAATTAATTATCTTCTCAAGAAGTCGAAAAGTGTTTTTCACATAATTTGAGTTTCGGTAATGCAAGCGGTTACGCAAGAACGAAGATAGCTCTTAGCAACCATCAGCGTGCACCGAGGATTTGGAGGGGGATCTACAGAGGGGTAAATAGTGAGGTGAAAAAAGGAGAGAGAGAAAGGCGGAATTGCAATGGTGAGCTCTCAAGCTCGAGTACTAGAAAGAGAGAAATCTCGTGACAGCGCCAGAGTATGGCACCCCCCGTAACTGCAGCAAGATTGATTATCATACTTTTATTCGATGGGCATCTCTTGGAGAGGATATCAGGACGCGTACGATGGTGGTGGTGGTGGTGTCTGGCCAGGTGCAGAGCACTGATAGGTCGATTTACGTTCCATTAGTAGGATGAAATAGCTTGCATCGCTGACTTGGCTCTTTCTCTCTCCCTCTCACTTGCTTTCACTCTCTGACTCACTATGGACTATCTACTTGCAGACGCACTCTTGAACGATTCCAGTAGCACTAACAAATCCAATTAAAGATTTCTACACCGGCTAAGTTAGTCGAGTGGATGTTCCACAATTATCACCGAGTCGAAAGCAAAAAAGTTCCTTTGGCTTTCAACAACTTAACTCGATCCTACTTTTTAATAAAATTGTCATTTCATCGTTTCATCGTTGCGACTGTTTTTCGAGGCAATATTCGCTAGTTCAAACATTTTGAATGCGACGCGTTTTCGAAATTACGATATCGTCATTGCTGGTCGGGCAAGCGAGCATATACTTAACCAAGGGCTGTACATAAGCGAGGCTTTTCAATGGATTTCGAACGCACGAGCCCACGGAGATTGGCTATGTATATTATACGTACACAGTCATAAAGACCACACACGCATATATTGCGCGCGCGCACTCACACATCGTACACATTAGAGAAGAGGACTGCATTTGCACGGATGATGCATTGCAAAAGCGTAGCGTTATAATCGCTTTGGCGGATTGCTGCCTGTAACTACACTAGCCTCCGGGTCCGACCACAGCCCTATTATATTGAATATTCTAATTACCGCTGCTCTATTTCATTTCCCCGGAGAGTAATGACGAGCTGTCTCTCAGGCTCTGTTACCATTCGAACGAGCTGTCTCTCTCTCATCGAATGGATTACACATCTATGGCATCTCTGTCACAATGACTCGTTGCTCTTGCCTACAGGAATGCTTTTCAGTAGTAGGAAACAACCCCTTTAAAAATACCTCATAGATTCGGAATAAAAAGCCACCCAAATCACGTACTCATCGAGCTTTGAAATTTTTCCGAACATTTGTAAGGTCAACGTTAACGAGTTATGGGTCTGAAAGAAATAAAATAAAAAGTTGACGAACCTGCTCGTTTGTCCTTATTCAGCGTTGAGACGTCATCATTTTGAATAACTAGGTCCTTCAGATCGATATCGCCTCACAGCCAAAAACTCCAAGAAACCTGAAAATTATCGATTGCTTTAAAAAATCATAGTAATATGCAACATATTCGTATTATTTTCGAAACGATTTAAAGTTAATATTTTTCATATGGTTTATATTTTTTTGAAGTTTTTATAAATACATATATCCAACATTGCACGCACGTCGTCGAAAAAGTATAAACTCAGCAACACAATGAATATATAAAACACAGATTGAAAAGCCGAGTCGTAGGTAGACAAAGCTTTTCTCCCTGCAAAAAAAGGAAAAAATAGAGCACAAAAACGGATAGAAAGAGAAAAAGAAGAAATAAGAGACACACAGAGGTCGAGTGCGCGTAATCAGCGGTCTATCGGAACGTGGGCTGCTGCTGCTGCCGCCGCGCAGTTGAATCGACCTCGCGAGAGAACTGAGAGACCGACAATATTCAAGATAAGAGCCACTGGAAGAGAAATAAAAACAAAAAGTCGAAATCCTGATCTATAGAAAAAAAGCAATCTCACAGTCATAGACATCTATACCTCGAGTGTACAAACTATCAACAATACGTATGATTCATACAAAGAGGTCAACGATATCGTATGATAAGTAAAGATTGGCCTCTTGCTTGTAACATTTGTTGGACACTTAATTATAATGTCATCATACAGCGCATACTCCAAGAGTCAATGCTCATTTTACTTCTAGCTGCAAGATCAAACATATTCTATAGTTGAAGTACTAGTGGTAGAGGTAGTGGTAATCGTCTGTCGATTCAAGTAAATTAGCCATAAAAAGTTACATATATCCCAAGAAAATTTTCCCAACTTTTTACATGAAACGAAAAAGTTTGCATGGAGTATCATGAACGCGTTGCAGTTTTCAAGTATTTTTTTTCTTTCAATTTTTCAAAAATTTCACATTTTAGTCCTATCAAAGGGTTGCTTACAATGTCATCTCACCTTAAAGTTTGAGCAAACTAGTCTAAAACTGAAAGTGACTTAACAAAGCGGAAACTCAAGTTGCCTACTAATCATTTTAATAATTACATAGTTTAAGAGACAATTTTCCTACGCAAATTTCATTCATCGTCGCGCAAAAACTATCACCAAAAACAACTTAGAACGTCGTTTTTGTCATTACATAATATTTATTTCAAGTTCCATACATGTTACCATTCCAACTTGGAAATCATAATAATAAATTTCTTGAAATTTAGCGATGAAATGTCAACTAAAAGCGATAAATTTTAATTATGCTTACATATTGTAAAGAACGTAAAAAAGACAGCAGGTCTATTTTCACTTACTTTATGACGAGCAAACAGTCGGCAGGCAAGATTTGATTTTCGAGGCGTTTAGAAGAAAAGTTTTATGAAATCGCAAGCGTACGCGACGCAATGTAACTCAGTGAAAAAGTCCGGAAACGAGGAGGCAGCAGCGCCGTAAAGGTAGTAGGTATGCAACGAAGAGGGAGAGAGGCTGGCGCGGCGCACGGCAAGAGCAGTGCTAGAAAAAAACGAGAAGCATGACGCAAAGGCTACACACACGTATACACACGCGCACATGCATGCAGAGAGAGACGCGAGGCGCGCACACACTCGGGGAGCCAGCTGGAGAGAAATGCACACTTTCTTGGGGGCAATTTTTCTCCATTCCAACGGAAATACCACGTGCCAAGGCGGAAAACAAGCTGCCTTGCAGCCGAGCACGCCATCCAGCGTATATAAACAAATCCCGAGGAACACTACGTTATTTCGCATGATGGAAGAGCGAGCAAGCGAGCGAGCGAGCGAGGGATACTCGTTTTTTCTCAAGTGAAAAAAATGAAAACGCGCAATTCAAACATTTTCACAAACTATACACAGTGGGCTCCAGTTATTTATTCGATTCGATGCCATCCATTGTGCTGTGTTTTTATATCACTAAAAAAAAAACTTGACAACGAAACATAATATCGTGCGAGAATGTATACATGCTAATCTTCGCCTTGGAAATAAGATGCAAAAATAACCGAATTTAACGATACGTTTACACAAAAAACGAAAACATTTCTTTTGATGAAAATATGGAACAACCCTAAAGATCAGAGTCACAAACTCATTTTATAAGGCGAATTTTTGGACCTTTGTAAAAATGTGTACAGTTTTTATTTGAAACGGACAAATAATACACGTATGCTTTACATATCAAACATCACGTTCGAAAAAAAGTCCGACTCCAGCAGAATAAGCGATTTAATTAAGCCACGTTCATTGACAAAGGAACTTCAAAAAAAATTCTTTGATAAAATATAAATTTCAATAAATTAATGAATATTAATGAACAATTAATAACGAATAATTAACAATCAAAAAATTAATTATTGTTAATCGTTGCAAAACTTCATGTTTTTAAATAATTTCTATTGCAGGTTGCCAAGCCTTTTCCAGTAATTGAAGATTTTTAAAATTTTTTATTTTGAAATTCTTAAAATGGAGTCTGCAAGGATATTTTTTAAATAAATTACGTGAAAACTAAATGGATAAAATAAACTTGAAATTTTTACAAATTTCTGAATACTGCGCTTTTTCCAACGTTCATTGAATGCGACCATTTTTAGAATCGCAATGTTGCTCTCGCGTATTCCTGTATCACACGATAATACATCGAAATAACGAAAAACTTCGGATGAGCGAATGCGATGATTGTTTCGAGTAAACTAAATGAAAGTTAATTGAGAAAAATATATGAATAATCGAGCTGGCTACTTCAATCGAAGTAGTTGAACACGACTGGCAGCCATGACTGTTGCCGAAACACACAATGCACGCGAATAAATACCAAACATACGCTCGTCAGGTATTTATCGATGAAGAATTTGATTATGTAGAAGCAGCATATGTTCCGATAAGCAGATTATAACAACATTAATAATAGTAAAACGCGGTTTCGAAACGGCGGGGGGAGGAGGGTCAGAGATTTCTCGCGATAGAGGAAAAATATGGAGGCACCTCTGGAGGATGGAAGATAAGGGTAAATACGAACGATAAATTCGCTGAAACCCGTTTGTACGGGGTCAAGTAGCACTCGAGTTTTTGGGATGCGCTCGCGTCGTTTGAGCTTATCGGTGCTGCTCTTCATTTAGTTTCGAATATAACGATAGAATTGTGTGTATATAGATCGCGTATACTTACAAAGTCAACAGTATAATCATTTGTACTCTGCGCACACACACATACATACATTAGGCACGTATGATACTAATACGCGTATACGGAGGAACGAAGCGATTCCGCGAGAGCGGAATGAATAGCGAACCGCACGACGCCGCAGCAGCAGCAGCAGCAGCAGTGCAGCTCGGGAATATACGGCTGCAGCTAGGAATGAAAATTAATCGCGTGAACGTATTATATAAGAGTGCTGCTGCTCCTCGCTCGCGCACCCCAAAGTAAGCTATGAATTCATATACGTATACGTATCTGCGCGTCTGTTATGATACGCGCGAGGCGGCGGTTGCTATATCCACGGGGATGCACCCTGTCGACTGCACTAGGCCGAGCCTCGACGTAGACAAGAAAGATCGCGAGGGTTATTTATGTTGCCGCGCCACGGAGGCACACGGGGCATATTTCAGTTGGTTGGCCGTGTGCGCGCGCGAGATATCGAAGAGAGAGGGCGAGAGTCCGGTATCTCTCACGCGTCTAGGCATATACTGCGTACACAGCGCGGCGGAAAAATTTTCAGGAATGCACTCGATCTCTGGGTAGACGCATGAGCCCCGTGTGCGCAAGCCGTGTATAAGAATCGCAACGGAGGTTTCCTTGTGTCTCGTGCTTCTTTCCACCACAGGCGTATACACGAGTATACTTAATAATTAAAGTTACTGACGCGCAAGACATCGTCGGAGAACACACACGCGTTATGTATAGCTCGAGTCACGGAGCGAGTTATACGATGAAACATGTAATGAAAGACAGCTGTAAGCCGCCATCGAGCGACTAGCAGGCCAGCAGCAGCAGCGGCAAATTTTCAACGCTCATTTGCAGGCGAACGCTATTTTACAACACACTACATTTAATCCGTTTTTCTTCCATTGCTGCTTACATGCGCGCGCCCCTCGCCGCCGATGTACACTGCAGCTGCGCTAGTCGGTTACTGGTACTACGTAGCGGCGGCGCGCACTGCTGCTCGAGTTTATATGTTCCACGTAGCGTATATATGTATGTATTAAATTATGCTGTTCGCGTCTTTCTATTTGCATTTGAATGAGAAAAAGAGGGAAAATTCTGCTTCTGCTTCTGGAAATGTTTGCTACGCACGCGGTGGCATACAGTACCATATCTAGGCAGCAGCGGTCGTGTAGACGAGAGAGAGAGAGAGAGAGCTAGCGTTTAACTTGTGCGCCGCAGCTAAAGGGCTGCTGCTGCTGAATTGCTGCCACTACCAAAGCGCCTTTCTCTGTCTCTCTCTCTCTTGCCCCTGCGTGCGCCTCTTTCAAGAAAGACAATCGCGAACAATGCAACAGACACGAGTAATTCGTAGATTGTAGCAAATCTCGTATTTTCAACTGCCTACACAATAAACCTAGTCTTGAAGATAAAAATGAAAAATTCTACCGTTATTACTCTCTAAGCCAATTAGTATGCATCTTTGTACGTAATTCGTAACATCTTGGAGCTAAAAGTGCGATATCTAAATTTTCAATCCACCTGAATTCAAAGGGTACAAAACTGCAGTCAACCATTTCGATAAATATCTTATCGAGGTGACGAAGCCTTTTGGCTAACCACATCAATGGTCCAACAGTCGAATACGATCTACTGTAACTTAAGTGTATACGTTCCTGGAATAGCTTATTCGAGCGGATCGGCTTGACAAACACTTTTTATTATTGATAAACGTGCACGTACATGCGAGTGTTCCGGGACGAAACTTGATTGGCCATGCGTGTGCCTGCCTGCCTGCCGGCTTGGCTGGTTCAGGAAAAAACGAAACACGAACTGCTCAAGGAGGCGGCTGAGAATGTTGGAAGGAGAGAGAATTATGAATATAGTCAAGT